CTGGTAGCATAGTGCCTAAGGCACTTGACTGCTAACCAGAAGGCTGGTGGTTCAAACCCACCAGCCACTCCTCGGAAGGAAGGTTGGACAATCTATTTCCGTAGTGATACTGTCTTGGAAACCCAAGGAGGGGTTGCTAACAGTCAGGGCCGACTCGACGGCACATAACAACAACATTGCTTTTCCTAAGCCTGGAACATGGCCTTGGCATATTAGCTATACTTTTTATGACTGCAAAACAGCATTCATTCATTCACTCACTCATCATATATAAGCATCCACTATTCACAGTGTTAAGTCTCAAGTTACAGTAGACCCTCTGGCTAAGACTGCTTAATTACACTATGTCTTTCTTTTATTTATAGATGATCATAGCCGGGTAGAGCTGTCCCTGATAACCTCTGATGAGGATTCCAGTTACATCAATGCCAACTTCATTAAGGTACACTGAAAGGAAATAAAAGCAATCCATATTCCTCCTAGGTGCCTAAAAAAATAGGAGGAAAGCATTAGGTGAGAACAAATTATCTATAATCACCCTATGTAATTTCTGTTCCTCTTTAGGGAGTTTATGGACCCAAAGCTTATATTGCTACCCAGGGTCCTTTGCCTACAACTCTACTGGACTTCTGGAGGATGATTTGGGAATGCAATGTCCTTGTAAGTGCAGAGTTGTTACTTTATTTTGTAGTTTTTAGGGATGGAGGGGGTAAGGTGTCAAGACATGTGACTGAGGTTCCTTGTCTAATTAAACCAATACTTTTTTTTTGATTGACTGACAGAATTTCAGTGTTCAGGCACATTTTAGTCAAAATCACAATGTCACTCTTGTTCAAGGAAATGAAAGTCTCACCTTGACAAACTCATTTGCTAACAAGAAGTTAATTTACTGGCTTGAATAGACAAGAGGGAAGTGGGGACATAAAGAAGGAAGGGTAGGAGCAAAACTGTATAATTTACCAGTATTTCTTTTTTCGGTTAAAAGAAAAACCAAACACAACAAAATAGAAAAAGAATGATTAGCCCTTTCTGGCCCTGGGAACCAAGCTCTTTGTAAATACAATAGGCATTTAAGTTTCTATCTGTTTTATCCCCCAGATCATTGTGATGGCATGCATGGAGTTTGAAATGGGAAAGGTGAGTTGCTTTCTAGTACTTGTTTACCTGAAGGCAAGGGACAACGAAAAAGGAGGGAAAACTCATAGCAGAGCTTTCCTTAAGGGTATGTAGGTAAAAAATTATGCTCATATTCCTAGTTTTCAGTTTTGGTATTCCAGATGACTCTCAGGGCCTTTTTTTTTAAACCATTATGAACCCTCTTTTGTCAATCTTCCCAGTAGACTCTGTTTTTTGTTGTTGTTTTTAACTTTTTATGCTGATTTGGGTGGAATTTTACAGAGCAGATTTATTTTCCATACAACAGTTCAGCCACACTTTGTTTTGTGACACTGATTACAATCCCAACAACATAATAGCTCTCTTCCCATTTCCTCCCTGTGGTTACCTTTCTGCTGTTTCCTTCTTACCTATGCATTCCTGCCTTTATGATCTCCCATGGTTAACTATTCTAAGGTGTACATCTCTCTGGTGTATTTGTTCAGCTCATAGGCCTGTTTATTCTTTGGCTGAAAGTCCAATTCTAGGTCCAAAGGGTGACTAGGAGCCACAGTCTTGGGGGTTTTACCAGTCTCTATCAAACAAGTAAACCTAGTCTTTTTTATGATTTTGAGTTTTGTTCCACATTTTTCTTCCATTCTATCTAGGATCTGCAATTTTGATCCCTTTCTGAGTGGTTGGATTGGTAACCAGGCACCATCTAATTTTTTTAGTTTCAGGATCACGTAGGCTGAGGTTCCTTCCCATGGGTCACTAGTCCCTTGGACTAATTGTTTCCATACATCTTTCATTCTCTTCACTCTTCTTTGCTCTAGACGAGGAGGGACCAATAGTTACATCCTAGATGGTCACTCACAAGCTTTTAAGACCCCAGTTGTTACTCACCAAAGCAGGATATAGTATGATGTTTTTGTGTGCTTTGTGTGCCTGTTGAGCTTGGTATCCCCTGCCACCATGGTCTGAGTCCACACAGCCGCAACTCACTCCCTCAAGGTGTTTGGTTGTGGCTAAGAAGTTATCCTAAATTTGTCCCTTTAACTCTATAATATAGGTGGACATTTTATAGTACATACAAATATGCATGTAGGAATATCATTTACCAAACTTATATATGGAGTAGACTCCATGTTTTAAAGTAAAAATAAGATATGCTTTTTAAAGTAACAATTCTTTTTCCCACTTTCATTAATTAGACACCTTTAACTGCTAGTCAGCGCTTCTAACCCTGTGCTGTTCAATATGGCATCCACTAACCACATGTGGCTTTTGAACACTTGAAATATGGTTAGTGTGACTAAGGAACTTAATTTATTTTATTTTAATTTCAATTAAAAAACCAGTATTCAACTCAGTTACTGGAAAACACTTTCATTTTATTTTATTTTTTTTAAATTTGATTTGGGTGAAAGGTTACAAAGCAAATTGGTTTTCTATTCAACAATTCATATACATTTTGATTAGTGATATTGATTGTAATCCCCACAATGTAACAACACTCTTCCCACTTCCTCCCTGTGCTTACCATTTCCATTCTTCCTTCTTTCCTATCCCTTCCTGCCTTCTGAGCTTTATCCCTGAGCAAATGCTGCCCTTCTGATCTGGTATGGTTGGTTCTTCTAAGAAGTGTGTACTTCTCTGTTGCTACTGTTCACCTTATAGACCTGTCTATTGTTTGGTTAGGACTCTGGTAGCATAGTGCCTAAGGCACTTGACTACTAACCAGAAGGCTGTCGGTTCAGACCCACCAGCCACTCCTTGGAAGGAAGGTTGGGCAATGTACTTCTGTAGTGATACTGCCTTGGCAACCCAAGGAGGGGTTGCTATGAGTCGGGTCCCACTTGATGGCACATAACAACAACAACATTGTTTGGTTGAAAGTTAAACTACAGGATTAGTTATTGGAAAAGTCTTAACTATGTTTTCAACAAGTTGGGTATGTGAATCTAGTTTTTCAACTGTAAATTTTATGAAATCTGACTAAAATATTTCCAATGAAATATTTGAGATATACTATGAATATAAAAGGAGCTCTGGTAGCGTATGCCTAAAACACTTGACTACTAACCAGAAGGCTGGCGGTTCAAACCCACCAGCCACTCCTCGGAAGGAAGGTTGGGCAATCTACTTCCGTAGTGATTCTGCCTCAGAAACCCAAGGAGGGGTCGCTATGAGTCGGGTCTGACTTGATGGCACATAACAACAACATGAATATAAATACTAGATTTAAAGACAGTATAAAAAATAGAAAATGTCTAATAACTTATATTGATTTTATGTTTTAAAATTTTGGATATATTGGATTAAATGAGATATATTGTTATAACTAATTTCACATTGTTGGTGTTTTTGAATGTGGCTATCAGAAAATTTAAAATTACATGTGTGGCTTACATTATATTTCTACTGGACAGCAGTAGAAATATACTAAATCTACTGTTCTAACCTACATGAGATAAGCCATTCTGAGTTGATACATTCCAAGGAAATTTGGTATTTCAGTTAGCTTCTACAGTTTTATTTTGGTACATATATGATTTTTGTTGGTCCTTTTGAAGTACTGAAAATAAGCTAGGGATACGTATATTTACCTTTTCTGACTTCCAGGAAGTCTGTATTGTATGTCAGCTCTAATATTTGTTTTCCCATCCTTGGGATTCCAGACTATGATGTTGGGATTCAAATTTCAGGAAGTGACATGTTCCTATACTAGGGTGAAAGATACAGAGCTAAAATTTGTATCTGAATGAGGGGGTAGGTTTTGTTACTTCAGAAGATACTAGAATGGAGGGAAATTACTACATTCTGCTTTGTGCAATAGAAAAAGTGTGAACGCTACTGGGCTGAGCCAGGAAAGGAGGAACTGCAAGTTGGCCCTTTCTCCATATCCTGTGTGAGTATGGTGCCTGTTCCCATTATGACTGAGCAAAAATTCCAGGGTCTACTTTATAGAGAGCTTATCTTTAGAAATAACTAATATTTTAATCTTTTACTTCTTAGGAAGCTGATAAAAGAAAGTCTGATTACATAATCAGGACTCTAAAAGCCAAGTTCAATAATGTAAGTATAGAACAGGAGGGATAAACTCAATTGCCTACATGGATCAGGCAGGTAAATATGTATGTGTGTGACCCAAGTTGGGCATAAAGCAATGAAGAGTAGGGGGACTTCCGATGGCCTGGATAAGTCTTCACATTCACTTTTAGTGTAGAACTGTCCTCCCCAACATTTCCCACACCGTGGCACACATATGCAATAACAGTATTTGTAGGGTGAATAGAGGATGTGCAGTGAATAGAAGCTAGAGATCAACATGAGAGCTCATGTTTCCCTAGGTCCAGCCCAGCCTCTCCAAAGCTAAGAGATTGAATATACCAGCATGTCTGTGACCCATTTGAGGGACGCCAGATGGGAAGGTCTAGTTTGGATTATCCTCATATTTGCCTCCTCTTGTGAGTAGGGCAGATGGGAACAGGTCAATAATAAGTGACCTGAAATCATTTTCAATTGTTCTCAGATGGTACTTGGTCACCTGTGGTCTAAAGGAAATAAAGTAGCATACATTATAAATAGAATATAGAAACTATCTACCAACTCAGAGTAATCTTGTGGCCGAATGAGATGGAGTTCTAACCTTAAACTCATCTCTATTCTGGCTTTTATAGGAAACACGAATAATCTACCAGTTTCATTATAAGAATTGGCCAGATCATGATGTGCCTTCATCTGCAGACCCTATTCTTGAGCTCATCTGGGATGTGCGTTGTTACCAGGAAGATGACAGTGTCCCCATATGCATTCACTGCAGGTATGATGCTGTGTATGAACCTTCTACCCCAAACAAACCAAATGTCAGTCTGGGCAGGATTCCTGCTAAAATTGAAGAATCACTGTGTTGGAATTTAAGAATATAGGCTCCTGATCCCAGCCTCACTTATTATTCCAATTGATTAGAAAGGAATGAAGCTTAGAAATGAGAGTGATAAAAAGAAAGGGTCAATAGTAGAAACAAATTCTATTAAATTCATGTTTCTCAGATGCATTACTTGTGAACAGGTCTATAGACTTTTGCTATAAGAAGACTTTTGCCTACGATCTGTCTTGAGGTTCATTGTGGCATGTAACAGTTGACAAACATGTTCTGGGAAATAACAGAATCTGGAAAATTTCATTGCCTCCAGGCTTCTCTTCTTCAAATATGCTAGTGAAATTTTCCAATTTTGTTGTCCAAGATCCACCATCTGCAACTAAAATTCTACTTTGATTTTTCATTTCAGTGCTGGGTGTGGAAGAACTGGTGTTATTTGTGCTATTGATTATATATGGATGTTGCTAAAAGATGGGGTGAGTTTCTCTCAGCAGGCATTTCCCATTTGTTTACCCTGCTGCTTTCACACTCAGGAATTGTTTATTTCCTCAAAACATCTGTTTCCATAATTCATCTTTCCTGTAATACTCACTCATAGACACACTTTCAGTCAGATAATTCAATTAGCTCCTAAGTCAGTGGCTCTCAAAGTGTAGTCCCCTGAAAAGCAGCACCAGTATTTTCTGGGAACTTGTTAGAAGTGCAAATTCCTGGGCCCCAGCCCAGACTGAATGAATGGAAAACTCTGGAAGTAGGGGCCAGCAAGTCCTACGGTTGAGTCTGATGCATGCTGGTGTTTGAGAACCTCTGCCCTAAATTATATTGTTACCCCTCCTTAAGGCAAACTGCTTTAGTAGTAGATGGACTCAATTATTATTATT